AACACACCTGTCTACAGGCCCCTCCACCGGCACCCAGGACCCCCTTCCCCGTCCAACCCCCCCACTCTCCGGGACCCCTCCTGAGAACGTCGCTCCGCACAGGCATAAGCGAACCGGTCCCGACCCCACTTTCCCCACCAGCTGTGGGCACAGAAAGAGCGTCCGTTTCTCAGCGCCCGCAGCAGACACGGTGGAAAAGCAGGCACCGCCGAGGCCCTTCCAGCCCCGTCCCCCAGCCCCAGGTTCTCACCAGCCGCCCCAGAGAGCCCCTCCCCCACCGCCGCTCCACAGAACGGCCCCTTAACGACAGCCACGCTGCGAACCCGGCCTCAGCTCTCGGTCCTCGTCTCGGGGCGCTATCAGCAGCACCCGACGTGCGGGTCACGCCCCGGCGGCCTGCAGTCTCCTCTCCGTCTTGGAGCTCCCAGCGCGCATCCTCGGTCATTTCTTCCCCACCCACACGCGGGCCCTCAGTGACTTTGCTCGTCCCGTGCCTTAAATAACACCGAGGCGCCATCCACTCCCAAATCTCCCTCTCTGGGCCCCGGTCCCCCTCAGCTCCCTTCCGGGCGCACTCCCTGACCCCCGCCCCCACTGCCTTAGGGACCGCGGTGCCTCCGAGCAGAGAAGGAGGCCCAGGACCCGCGGCCCGCCCACCCCTGCTCTGCGCCCACCCCTGCTCTGCTCGCTGCCTTTCCCACTCGGGCTGCGCCATGGTCCAGCTGCTCAGACCAAAGCGGCTGGAGTGGCCCGTGGCCCCTGACTTTCTCGCACACCCCGCGTTCAGCAGGTCACGAAACCCCCGCCTCAGCCGTCTTCACCGGACACGCAGAAGCCCATCACTTCCCACCACGCCCGCGCTGGTCCGGACGGGGTCCCACCGCTTGGCATCACGGCACCGGCACCAGCCTCCGCGGTGTCCTCCTTGCTTGCTCCGGCGTCGGTCCCCAACCTTCCCCACTCAGCGTGGCACTGGTGCTTGGGGAGGTGGCACAAATGCTGACCCCCCGCCACTGACAGTGTATCCTGGAAAAAGTCCTTTATCCCTGGCCCCGGAGCCCCCGCCTTCCGTTTCAGGCTGCCTGGTCAGTTTGCCCAGAGGGTAAAATCTCCTACTCTTGCCATTCTTCAGAACCACATGCAAATAAACACAACAGAAACAAACGTAGCCAACACTCTGCCTTCTCTTCGAGCCTCTAGGTCTTACCGCCAGGAGCTTTATTCTAAAAAACTATGAATACTTGCATGGCTGTAAAGGTGGGTGAAGAAATTGAAAGATAACCAAGTTAAGAAAAATGGACTTAAAGCTGTCATATAATATAAAAGTTAATACATTAAGAGTGAATGTATAATTATGGCAGAAGCTCTGATAAATCTTCCAGCGATCCACTCCCACTTTGCAGGCAACTGCCATAAAATTATAGGGCGGCACTAAGTTTGCTGTGGACACGGAGCAAACCTTCCAAGTCTCAGTTTTCCCAGGGAAACGGGTTCATCTCTGAACCACACCCGCTCTAACAGCATCTGACTCAGCGAAGGCGAAGCACGCAGGCACTCAGGCACTAAGCTTGAGGAGGGCTTTTACCTGCACGTTTCTAAGCATCTTCTCCTGCAACTGTGTTCAGGCATTCCTACTGAACTGGATAGGAAATATGAATATTAAGTTGAATACGAAATCATTTAAAATATTAATAGCCCTGGCATATAAGAATTAGTTAATGAAACAAACTCACTCCTTAACTTTCGAATTTGAGCTTTAACATGTTGGATTTTAAAAAGGTAGTACACTTATATAACAGTTCGTCCCTGTCTTTATATATGCGCATACTGAATTTTCGCAGACATATTTTTACACCTTTCTAAGCACTCGCCAAGGTTTCGGCTGAAAGCATAGCAGGTTCCCTAAACCATCTCACCACTCCGACAGCTGATGGCGAAGAATGAGCTCATTGTTTAAACCACCGGGTAGGTAATATCCTTGGAGAATTTCTGACAAACACTGACAGATAAGTAGGCCCCAAAGATCTGTCTGTTTTTGTTTTCATTCTGTGGCAAAGCTGCTGACCAGATAGTACAATGACAAAGTTCTTTCATTACTTTTCATTCCTCAAAATTTAAGGTTATTCATTTATACACAAAATGTCTTCACTGTATTGAACTACTAAAGCAAAAAAATTTAACTCCTAAGGGCAACATGCACATAAAAATAACTAACAGCCTGTAGATCTTAACACAAAAGCTCCAATTAAAAAAGCAATCCATCAACTATTCAAATGCTTTTGCATAGAATACATGAGTTTTTTGTGGACCTTGCATGCAAGAATGTGAGCTTCCAGTTAAAATAATCATTCCACATTTTCTGGAAGTACACTGAGATTAGGAAGAGCAGATTTGGGACACAAAAAGTAATCCCCATGAGATTTACTAAGTGTAGGTTAAGAGCAAATGTAAACCTCATTCACTGACCTTCAGAGATAAAGGGGGCCCTGAAGAGCAATAATTACTCAAATTAATACAGCCCTAGAAAGCAAATAATATAAAAATCTCACAAAACAGAAAACATTATACACATTGTAAAATGATAACAGTCAAATGTAATCATTTATCATAAGCTGCCAAACATGGGATCTCTTAATTTTTAAAATGATCCAACTTAAAATAGCGTGGCCTGCCCACTACCGATGAAGTTACCAGAGCTCAGTGAGGTGTCTTCAGGCAGCACTGACCTGACCTTTGTTTAAAGAGAAATTAGGTGTGAGCTTCCCCCAAGGTAAAAGGCTCGAATATTAACTGATGCTAGGAAAACAAACACAAACTATTAAAAAGAACAAAAAAAAAACTTTAAATGAACTTAAATACTTCTTTATCTCCACTATTCCCCCTCCCCGCCAAGAAACACAAGGACAATGAGAAATGAAAAACAGATGACAAGAGTGTGAACTGGCTTAGAGAAAAGTGAAGGAAACTGAGATCTAAGTCTCCTGGGAGGGAAAGCAAGAAAAAAACACACCTATGAAAAGATATCACAAATCCAAAACAAGAGTCATATGCTATTTATTTTGAAAAGTGAGGAGAGAAGAGCTAGAAAACAACAACTCCTACAGCCAATATTAAAATTCAAAAGAAGAAAAATTGAGAAAATTCCCCCCCCCCACACACACAAAAAGCTGATTTTTAAAAACTGAGGGGGAAAAAAGCTAAACAAAATTAATATATCAATTCAGGATATCCAACATGCGACATAGAGCTTCAGTCAGGAAAAGAAAAAAATTCAAGGGGAAGAATTATAAAAGAAATGTTAAACATTTTTCCCCAAACCAAAGAATACAAGTTTACAGCGTCCTTACAAGTCTAAGGACCCATGGGATGCTCAGTACATCCAAAAAAGAACAAACTATAATCAGGCGCATCACAGTAACATTTTAGAATTTCAGAGATAATACGAAGGTACTATAGGGCATCCAGAAAGAGAAAAAAATTACATCCAAATGAGAGGGACGCGATGACAACTGACCCAGCGCAAGCGCTGGAGGCCGGCGGGGCCGCGCCGTGGAAATTCCTGGAAATTCCGAGAGAGATCTGACCTTCTGCGTGCACACGCTCTCAGCCCGGGGCTGCGTGCGCTCCCGCGTCTCTCGGCGTCCTGGCGGGGGCCCACGACTGGCTCTGGACAAGGGACGGTGGGCAAACATCTCAGTGCCAGCCCGTGACCTGTCTGCCAGCTCTCCCCGCACCTGCTGTGATGGCCCGAGCCATGGGGGACCAGAGGGGGACACCGGTGAAAGCAGGCTGGTCCCAAAGACGAGGCCGGAGGAGCCCAGGCCCGCAGCGGACGCGGGGAAGGCGACAAACACGCCTTTACCGGCTGCGCTGAGATTTCCGAGTTAGGCTGTCACTGACTGAAACAGCAGCCTAGGAAACGATACGCAGTCGGGCTATAAATCAAGTGTCTAGAACATAGATATTTTCTGATATGCAAGGTGTCCAACACTCACACACCGCCCTCCCCCGCGCCCCCACTCTACCACCATCCCCTGTCCGGGAAGTCACTAGGAGGATGGGCTCCATCAAACCAAGGAAGTAACAAAGAAATGAAAACCAGGCAACCCCACGTGGGAAAGGGGAGAAAAGAACTCTAGGTGGACGCACGGCTCCGGTGGGATTCAGCCGGTTGGAGGTAACGGCCCTGTTGTCTCTGGCCCTTCCCAACCAAATACAGGTCACCCTCCAAGAGCCAGCTCTGCTGTGACATCCTCCATGAAGACACAAATGCAAATAATTCCCTTGCTCCTAGGAGCCAATAAAACATCCTGCCTCAGTGGCGCGAAGGGCCACAAACACCAGACTCCACCACGGAACCCGCCGTTCGCTGCCCTCCTCATCTGGGTAAGAGCGAAGCCGGTCAACAACCAGGAGCCTCCTTCTAATCCTGCGATGCAGGAATTCTGCCAATGTGCCAACCCCCTAACACTCTAACACAACTCCGTAGAAGCTTACGTAAACGGAGTCTGTGGTATTTGGTAATAATGTTATTCTCTAAGTCTGTGTGTGTGTGTGTGTGTGTGTGTGTTCACCTTAAAAAAATGTCAACAAAAAATGACTACTGGAAAAAGGATGATATTTCCTTCAAAACCAGAATTACGTGACAAACCTACAGGTAAGAATTCATCTTACACTACAAGATGCATCCTACTTACTTTGACTGTGTGGCACGTCCTGGTGTGGCCAGAACAACGGCTCCCGCGACCAGCACAGCCGGAGCAGCAGCAGGTAAGAGGCTGCCGGGGGCGCCCGGTGCGTACGCCTCATCTACACAGCTCTAGAGAATAATGTTAAACTCTTAAAATTGTTTTTGATGAAAATCTAATAGGAACCATATATTCCTCTGCCTTCAGGGAGGGGGGAAATACTTTAAACACAAGTGTGCATATTAAATATAATCTCCTCCTGCCCCCGACCTGCTGAACGTAGCAGGTGGCTCTTTAGGAAGCCACGTTTACCTGCTGGAGAACTTCAGGATGGCATGGTGACGCCTTCGGGGTTCAGTGACACTCAGACACCCGCCTGTCTCCCGGGCCTTCAGAGCTTCGGTCTGGTCTTCTTTCTTCTCTTTCTGTCTTTTCTACTCAACAGTCTGTTCCCAGGGACAAGGGGGCAGCCACCGCTCCCCAGACATAGTCTCCGAGTGGGATGCCCTTTTGATAATTAAAAAAACAAAAATTTCAGTGTGACAGCTGTTAGGAACGATAAAATATATTGAAACAGGACGAAAACCAGCATGGGGCCTTGTCGGAGGCCACAGGCAGGACCTCTCGTGTTCCCGGTCCCTCAGCTCACCGCCGTGACCCAGGGCCAACCCGGTGGCTGCTCCTGCCGCGAGTACAGCCAAGGCGGCTGGCCTCCCGCTCTCTCCTCCCATGTCCACCTCGCCCATCCCCCACACAGGGCCTCCTTAACCAGAGAAACCAAGTCTTCCACAGACGCTGAGCCAAAACAAGAACACTCCCGTGAACCAATATACCGTTAACCAGTATCTTTTAAACTAACTGGGGCTATCAGTACAGGCTATATGCCCGGCACTAAACTCACGCATCTACCGGCAGTATCTCAGTTAATGTTCACGCCAAGGCTGAGAGAGGCACAATTTTCCAGATAAGGCAAATAAGACACGGTTTAGTTCAACAACCTGCCCTGCGAATTTCTGTAGAACCAGGCAGAAATCTTGTAAGCCATGGCAGAGCTTGGATTTTAGTGTAAACAAATTATTCTCACAATAGCAGTGTCAAATAGAGGGCCACCCCCTCTTTGGCCCATGTGAGCAAGAAACTCAGAGGGGATATAAGAGGCGTTCAAGGTCTAGTCACGTATACTCTTTTAAAGATCTAATACCTCCAATGTGTCCTCTGAGTGCAAAGTGAAAAATGAAATCGTTAATGACTTTATCTGTACATCCACTTGCGAAATATCAACAAGACCCACAGCCACCTGAAAACACCTGTTCCAACTAAGTAAAATTTGATGTTTGTGTGCATTGTCAAAAAAGACACTGAGTTTAAAGTAAAATGTGCCCTCAGTCCTAAAGCTTTCGCTACTTCTTGTGCTATACAGCATAATAAATTAACCATCAAACGAAGGCCAATTTCACCGTCGGTCCAACGGAACTCACGTCTTCCCACTGCTATTTCTAGTTTACTACCTAGACAACTGTTTTGGGCAACCCAGTCACACACACAGGGTTGCCCTTCCTGTGCAAATATGCTAGTATTTCTAATATATTTATAATATATTTTAATACATTTACAATATTAATATTATTAGTATTATAAATGCCTCCCCTGTAAAAGGAGTCATTTTTCAGAAGTACTCCAGGCCCGCAGGTGCACCGCCGCCAAAACTGGAGGGGCGAGCGACGAGGACAGAGAACTGAAACAGGCAACCTTCACTTCCCGTAAAAGATGCGACAACAAGCAAGAACCAGCACACGGTGACCTTGGCTCTGGGTCATGCACCTATTTACCCTTGTGAAGTATTAAAGGGACACATACACACCCATCAGCTATGGCAGATTGGAAATAACTAAAGGCCATACGTCAGCATAGTTGTGTGCTAACCCATTTCACACGCCTGCCTATTTCTGAGAGAAAGCCACAAACTTGGAAACAGATGGAACATCTCCTTTTCTCAGGGCACAGTACAACTTTTAAAGAAGATTGCACAATGACTTCCATGAGCAAAATAAAAGGTACTTAACCACCAGTAACACCGAAGTTTCCTGACCATTGACCACAATGTTTCTATTAGTAACATTGTTTCTACTGGTAACATTGCTAGTTACTACTGGTAACACAAAAGTTTCCCGGGAACTGACCAAGCCCCCTGCTTACCTGTGAGGAGTGAAGGTACATAACAAGACAGTCTTAAGACACTTGCTTCTGTCCCCTAAAAACAGGGCCATGAAAGAGACTCTCAGGGCCCTGGGCCGGGGGGGTGAGCCGCACCTGGTGGGGACAGGGGCGCTCTTCATCCCAGGTCAGACACAGCCCAGTTCGGGGAGGCGGGGGTCCAGGTTGCAGGCGCCCAGCCCCCTTCTCAGCCACGCCCCGCAAGTTGCTGCCTAGGGAGGGCAGGAAGCCCAGGGGTGTGCCCCTGGAAAAGGGGGACAGTCCTGTTTAAGGCCCACCAGCCTTTCCACCGAAAGAAGGAAAAGGCGCCTTGGCAGGGCGGCTCAGTTGGCTGGAACGTCATCCCGGAGATTGAAAGGTTGAGGGTTCAGTTCCCAGTCAGCGCACATACCCGGGTTGTGGGTCTGATCCCCGGTCAGGGCACATGGGAGAGGCAACCAACTGACGTTTCTCTCCCCTCTGCCCCCTTCTCTAAAAGCAATGAAAAAGTGGCCTCAGGTGAGAGCTAAATTAGTAAATACAAAGACAGGGACAGGAGCAGCGTACTTCCCACCAAATCAGAAGATATTTAAGGATCATAATAAAGAGGAAAAGTGTTTCAAAGAGATGCTGAAGGGAGCCCTAAAAAGGACTGTCGGGTGAATAACCAGACTGCCCCTCCTCACAGAGCCGGCTCCCCCGAATGCAACCAGGGAAGATGGGGCGGTGCTGGAACCTGAGGGCCAGAGCGACTCCCCACCTCGCCACCAGAGCGCCTGGTCACAGCAGGGAGGCGAAACCTGAAGCGAAACCTGAACCGGGGGAGAGATGTATCACAGGCTACTTTCGTTCGGGGGCTTTACCAGTGAAACTTGGTCAACCGTGCCGTTCATGTGTTCAAATAACTCCTGACTGTCCACAGTACTAAATAGGCCACTTAAAATTCATTCATTCAAGTAAGAGGGGCATTTTTCACGTCGCGGTATTTGCTGGGTTAAGAAAAAAGACGAGAGATGTGCATGCCTCCTAGGGTTGAGAACACCCCACAGATTTCATCTCGCAGGACAGGGCAGTTCACGTTTGTTCGATTACAAATATGTTTTCATTTCAAGGAAGCCGTTCAACTTAGGAACGTGTTTGGAACCGTTCTGTCTCATTCACAGTATCGCGGGGATGCACGCTGCGTGGTCCAGGCAAGACGGTCCAGGAACATTTCTGGCACTGAATTCAACGTGATGCATTTCCTTCCCGGAAGCCTGCGTCCTACCGCGTGTTCCCACCTGGCCCTAAATTCCAGAAAGTGGGGATGGAACCCTGAACCCCTCATTCGGACTCCACGTGACCTTAGCACACAGACCCCCGCACGCACTCCAAGTTTCGTGCCAGGACCCGCACTGAGAAATGTCAACAGTCCTGCTCCACCAGGAGCCACCAGGGCGTCCCTGAAGTTGCCAACTCCTGGAGCAAACTGGAGATCGCGGCCTGCCTCGGTACCAGGGGCGTTTGCTAGACCCCCCGCCCCCCTCCCCGCAGCCCTGAGAGTGAATTCACGCGGCAGGCACCCCCGCGAAGAGTCGCCCGGGGCCCGGCCGCCGCCACCCCGCCTGGGCCGCGCCGACTCCGGCCCCCGGCCGCGAGCGCTGGGGTCCGAGCGGGCCGAGCGCGGGAGTGGAGCGCGCAGGCCCCGCGCCGCCGCCCCAGGCCAGGCCGAGCCCCGGCCTCTCCCCGGCGGCTGCGGGCCACAAAGGCGGAGGCCCAGGCCGGCGCGCGGCGGCCCGGGAGGCCGAGGGTCAGGCGGGCGGCGGCGGAAGCAGGCCTCGGCCCTCCCCGCCGGCTCCCCGGACGCCGCTCCCCGCCCGCCGGCCCGCCGAGGAGGCGCAGGGCCTCGCGCCGCCGGGCCCCCGGGCTGCACCGGCCGCCTCCCCGGTCCCGGCCCCGCGCCCGGCCCCGCCGCCCCAAGGAGACGCGCCCCGCGGCCGGCCGCCCGGCCGCCCGGCCGCCCAGGAGGGAGCAGACGCCCAGCCCGGCCCCGACCCGGCCCCGACCCGGCCCGGCAGAGCTCACCGGCGGCGGCCGCTCCGCTTCCTCGCCCAGCGCCGGCGCGACTGCGGCGCTCGGCCCGCCTCCCCGCAGCTCCTCCTCCCGCCGCCTTCCTCCTCTTCTCCCTCCTCCTCCTCCTCCTCCGAGCGGGCCGCCCCGCGCCCACAGCTCGGCCCGCGGCGCAGGCGGGCGTCCGGCGCGGGGACCCGGGCGCGCGGGGGCGGGGTCGCGGCGGGCTGGGGGGCGGCGCGCGGGGGCCGGGGCGGGGGCGCGCGGGGTGCGCAGGGGTTAGGATCCCGGGGGGAAGCGGTGCGGTGTGTGCGGCGGGGCCCCAGGACAGCCCCGCACCGCTGCGGGGTCCATCCCCGCCCCCCCCGCACTCCCCCTGGAGGCGGCGCCCCCCATCGCAGCCCGCCCCCCGCGCCGCCGGGGTAGGGACAGTCCTCTGTCCTCTGGCGTCGCCACCGCGCTGGCCCCCCCGGGACCAAGGCTCGCTCACCTGTAGCCGCGACCCGGGCCTGTCCCCGCGGGGAGGGGAGACCCGGGCAGCAGGGCCGCGGCCGGGAGGCCGTTCCCACACCCCCTCTGGCTGAACCGTGAACTCGGCTCGTTGGAGAAAACTTCGTCCGTGCTCCACGCCGCCCGCTCCGCCGCGCAGCCCTTCTCGGCGGGCGGGCGCGTTCGCTCCGGTGCGGCCGCTGAATTCCGAGGGACTGTGACTCCCGTCACTTGACTCGTTTCTTTGGAAACTGGCCGAATGGTCTACCGATGTGTGGCAATAGCAGCAGCACGTTGGATTTCTGTCGATGGGAATCAACGGGAAAATGTCTGTCTTCTCTCTTGAACAAAAGCGATTACAGACAAGTATCCTGAAAATCTAGCTTGAGTTGTTTTATCGTTGACTTTAAAAGTTGCGTGTCTGGAGTAAGCAGGGTCCTTCTAAAAAGGAAGCAAATAGGCGAGGGGGGAAGTTCTTGAAGTCGTTCGCGTGTGAATTTATATCTGAATCATACCTCAATAAACTGCTATTTAAGAAGAGTGCCAGTAATCTGAGTTCCTATAAAAAATATCTGATATACAATACTCACCTAAACACAAAACCTAGATTAATAATTTAAAAATTGGGCTCTCAGGGGACTCGATCGGTGTGTGTGACCAAATAGTATATATACCTCAGGTTGGTGACATCCACGGACCGCCGTCACCTTCCTCTTACCCCACTTTAAATGCAAGTCGCTTCTCCAATATCCAATCCCAGTGAATGGAGACAGAAAGAGAACGGTCAGAGGGGTTAGTGGTGACAACCAGCACTGATTAGAAAAGACGCAACCGCCTCTTGTTGGCAGCCCTGCGGGAAGAAGGCGCGGGCTGGACTGAAGGACCTTGCGCACGAGTCCGTGCGTGGCGTCCGGAACCCAGGACCGGGAGGCTGCGCAGCAGGGCTGCTGAGCTCTAAGCCAGCAACGGGCTGCCCTTAGGAGGCAAGGTCAAGTCCCTGGGCTTCTGAGTCTGGCCCAGCAGGTCTGGCATCTCCATTGTGACGGTCCATGTAGTTGTGTGCCCTTAACCAAATTTCTCCGCTGTAACCTCGTTTTCTACTTTCGTGGAAGGGTGGTGGGGGCTTTGGAAGGGGAGGAGGCTTTGACGTTACCTCTAGCAAGCGGTTGTGAAGATTACATGAAGCAATGCCCAACAACCACCATAACGATTATTAATACTAGGTGGTGTATATTTTGTGGGCCAGGCTTGCATTATGCTCTTTTGTACATATTATCTCCTTTAATTTTAACAATAATCTGTAAGGTCAGTATTATCCCCACATTACAGATGAAGAAACAGGCTCCTTATATGTAAGTATAAGCCGTAAATAACTTTCCCAAAGCCACACCGCTGCTGTGCGGCAGAGCTGGAATTCAAACGTAGGTCTCTCTGACTCCAGAATATGAACCCTTACCCACAAAATTAAAATAATAGTGATAACAGTATCATAATACAGAAACAACTATAGTGTAGAGAAACTAGTGGCTAAATATACTATTAAAATCTCCTTTCTCGGCGGAATGCCAAGCACGTATTGGTGCACAGGTGTGTCCTCTTGGCAGCTCACCATCCAGCCCTTCCACTGCTCAGCAACTCAGCCTCCCCCTGGGGAAAGTCCTATCTTTTCCCTGCCCACCCAGCGTGGCTGGAAGGTGGGCCTGTGGCCGAGACTCTCACCCAGAACTCTGACACTTGAGCAAGAGATGCAAACACGGGGGGGCTCACGGGAGAGGAGAGGGACTGGAGTCACCCTGGTGTGGTACTTGGACCAGGTTGTTCTTGGTGCCAGCCCCCGTGAGCGTTCTAATAAATCCCTGTTGTGCTCAAGATAATCAATTTCTGTTGTTTACAAGCGCAAACACTGTCTGTTAGATACACTTGGCGAAAGATGGGGGTGGCAGAGGGTCCCAGTGAAGGTACCGGATCAGGGGCAGTGGAGCAGAGGCCCCCTTCCCCCTCCTGAGGCCATAGCTTACAGAGCCAGGGGGACCCTCACTGGCCGTCCTCCACATCCTCATTTTATAGAGGAGGAAGCTGACGCAGAGGTCACAGGCCTTGCCCAAGGCGACCAAGGGAAAAGTGGTTGAGTCATGACTCGAACTGCTGTCCCCCAATTTCAAGTCTGGTTTGATTTCTAGTCATTAATGTCTCCCCTTCCTCTGGGAGGGAAAAAGAGAGGAGGGGCCTAGAGTTGAGCAAATGGGGTAGACACAGGATGGGACGCATCGGGCAGCCTTCCAACCTCGTCCTGACTTTTCGAGGTCTCAGCGCTGAGAGCGTGCCCCGGGCCGCAGGGGCAGCCGCCCGAGTCGGCTCGGTCTCATGCCCGGACTTCCCTCTCGCCACCCACTGGGCTCTGCCTGAGCGTCGCGAGCACCCGCCATGCAGTCACACTTCCCTGTTTGGCACTTCTGCTCGGCTGAGGGGTGTTCCCCAAGATCTCACCCTTCCCAGAACCTCCGACCGTGACCTTGCTGGGAAGTGGGGCCCGCGCGTACCTATGTCACTACGTTAGTAGGAGGGCCTGCTAGAGTAAGGCGGGACCTTCATTCGAGAAGACTGGTGTCTCTGTCAGAGAGGGGACACAGGCAGACGTGTCCCCCAGGAAGGCCCCGTGAAGACGCGTGGAGAATGCTATGGGCGTTGTGGTGAGTGGGGATTCGCCCACAAGCCAAGGATGGCGGCCAACGCCAGAAGCCAGAGAGAGGCCGGCAAGGATCCAACTCTTTGCCCTTGCCCTGCTAGCCTCCAGACCACGAGAGAATGGATGTCTATTACGTGAAGCGTCCAGTTGCTGGTCTGTGGCGGTGGCGGTTGTAGGGAAGGAATACAGCCCCCCCAGGCCGGCCCACCCCCCCTCCAGTCCTCATGCCAGTTCTGTCATGAAGTCGCTGCAGGCTCCTCCCAATCAAGGCTGCTCTTGCAGGTTCCCAATTACTAGTGTCACCATAGGACATTACCAGGTTATAATAAATCCTGTGCTCAGTCTGCCTTCCACCTAAAGTGGAAAACAGTGACTCAGTTGCCTGGCATTCAAGGCTCTCACAGGCCTCTGCTTCCTTGTATTCCCCTTTGCTGGGCCACGCTGGGCAACCGCACCTCCAGACGGTCCCAGCCCTGTGCTTTGAGGGACTCCTGCTTTCCTCCTCGCCTGGAATGTTCTTCCAGCTCACCCCACCCTCTTGATTGTTTCTGTTTGTTGAAAATCTTAACCCCTCTTCAGTCAAGGTTCAGATCCGCCCTGTGAGAAGGGAGGTTGGCCTGTTTAGAAACTCCACCTAGGCCAGCCCTTGGAGCACATTTCATACTCTACCGTACGTTGCAACAATTCTCTCCTCCTTTGAATGCAGGTGTTTTGTTTATTCTCTTTCTGTGAGGCGTAGTAGTGCCCTGAACAAAGACTTTTCACACAACAGGGCCTCCAGAAACATTTGATGAACAAATATGAAGAGTCCGTTCTTCTCTCCATGGTTTTGAGACTAACCTGGTGAAAAATGGCCATTCAAAACACTTTCGAAGATTCCCTTTAAGAGACAGAAGTGGCTGGCTCGTCCTTTGGAAAGTGAGAACACCTGATTTCCAGCATAAATATTAAGGGAAACGTCTGTGCTCTTCTTTCCATGAGCAGCTGGATTCTGCTCGCGGGGAACGTGCTGATGTCAGAGGAAGGATGCCTACCTCCCAAAACCAGGGCTCTGAGGATTTTTTTTTTTTAAGATTTTATTTATTTCTTTTTAGAGAGAGGGGAAGAGAGGGAGAAAGACAGGGAGAGAAACATCCGTGTGGGGTTGCCTCTCACATGCCCCCACTGGGGACCTGGCCCACAATGCAGGCCTCTACCCTGACTGGGAAGCAAACCAGTGACCTTTCAGTTCTCAGGCCAGGGCTCAATCCACTGAGCCACACCAGCCAGGGCTTGGAGAATTTTTAAGACCTGGCAGGTGTGTGGGTACCTGCTTGTTTATACAAAAAGACAGCACTTCAGCCAGATCTTGTTCCTGGGTGAGAAGAGCCTCTGGTGCATCAGGCCCAGCTTAACATTATTTTCTGTTTCAGCGCAAACCTTTTTATTTGTAGGCAGGTAAAAGAAATGCCTCGCTCTTGTCTGCCCTCTCTCCTTCCAGGATCCAGACCCCTCTGACTACGTCAGGTAACATGATCGCTTCAGTGCAAAGCAATCCATCAAATAGCCATTATTATCCTGAGCCGTTAATGGCATGTGTTTGCCTCTTCTGAAAACTTAGGAGGAGGGATGTCCTATAGCGGAGAGTAACATCTCATAAAATTCCCTGCCTTTTCACCCAATCATGGGAGAAAGAACTGGAATTCTGCCTTCCAACAGGCGGAGAGCCAGAACACCCGTGGCTGGCTCCAGGTGGCCTTGAACCACCTTCTCGCCCCAGGGAGACGGCTGCCTGGGTAGCACCCCACTTCTTAAAGGTGCCTTCTTCGTGGCAGGATGCAGGGAGTTGTTAGCGCACTGAACTCGAAAGCTGGACACCCACAGCAGCAGTAGCCTTTCCGGACAGAACAACTTTCTCCCCGTGTTTGGGATTCTAAAGCAACGGCAAGGCCTGGCAACCCAGAAAGACAGGAAAACACGGTACCCCCGGCAGCATTGACTCGAACTCTGCGTCAGAGCTCTGTTCCTTGAGATTGGGAGGAATCAAAGTGCAAACACCCCCGCCCCCAGAAGCAACAGCACGTTTAGAGGCCATCGGCTGTGGATGACCCTGTGACCGTGCTTCACTGTCATGCTGCCATTGGGTTCTCACAGCGTTTTCAACTTTTATGTATCTACGTGTTCCCCGACTTACCTACACAATTCCATTCCAAGAGTTTACTTGTAATTTAAATTATGAATTCAATGTACAATTCCGTGTTTCTAAGGAAAAACGCAGTGTTATAAATGGTCATTAGATTCCCAAATAAATCCCATGCTATAATTATATTACACAAGCAGAATGAATATTAAGTCTTCCCAGCGATCCAACACGGAAGACGTCACCTGAAAGCTATTCTAACGCATCAGCTAATATTCAGCTCTTGAGGAAGGAGTAGCAGTTGGCAACCAGGGTGTTCAGTCGGAAGTATTAACCCACCAGGTCCCAGCCT